GGATGGTCCAAAGGAAGGAAGGAAAGGCTCAAAGCAGGGAACCAATGAGGTTACAGCCATGATCCAGACAAAAAATAGAGGCTAAAACTAAGAATCACAGGACAGAGAAGACAGATTTCAACAATATTGAATAAACTGTTTTCTCATCTAGCATAAGTTAAATAGTAGGGATACAATAGTGAACAAGCAAGAAGCTCTTATGCTTAGGAAGCACATACACTGGTTAGAGATTTAAAAAACAGACAATTATGATAAAGTATGATAAGTGCTATGACAGTTGCACATATAAAGACTATGTAAGACAGGCTCTTGAGATTTGAAAAAAGTAGGGAAGTTGGGAGGTAAAGTCAGAGAAGGCTTTCCCTCCCAGAGAAAATGATGCCTAAGGTAAGTGTTGAAGGATAAGCAGTTGATCAGGCAAAGTAGATGGGAGGCAAGAATGAATTCAAGAGACATTTCAAAAGATACAAGAGCAAAGCTGAGAGGAAGAAAAAGCTCAGGTATCAAGTTTGAGTGACTAGATGAATGGTGATGTCATTGAGAAAGAGAAATATAGGACAGAGGTCAGTGGAAGACTAGGAAGTTATGACCAACTGGATATTCAGACAAAAACATTAGTAGGCAATGAAAAACATCAATCTTTAGTTCAAGTGAGAGATGCTGGTATTTGGTGAGTATTATATTACAACTACCTGTATTGTTTTCCCTTCTTTAAGTTAAAAATATCATACTAGGCTGGGTACAGTGGCTCACATCTATAATCAAAGCACTTTGAGAGGTCAAAGCGGGAAGATTGCTTGAGCCTGGTGTTTGAGACCAGCCTGGGCAACATAGTGAGACCACATCTCTACAGAAAAAAAAAAAAAAAATCAAAAAAATTAGCCAGGTGTGGTGGCACATGTCTGTAGCCCCAGCCTTGGGAGGCTGAGGTGAAGGAATCAACTGAGCCTCAGAGGTCAAGGCTGGAGTGAGCCATAACAGTGCCACTGCACTCCAGCCTAGGTGACAGAGTGAGATTCCACTTAAAAAACAAATAAAAATCATATTAATTTAACCTGGTTAGCATAATTAAATCACTAAATTAATAGCAAATGTTGAAAAAAATCATATTAAAAACACTTTTAATTCCAAAAAGTATCCTGCCTCAAGCTCTCAACATCTTATATTTTCTGTTAGAAACAATGTGGTGAACTAAAGATGAAAACAATGACAACAACATCTCATTTTCTGACCAATTACAAAGAACATTCTTTACCCAACTGGAGTTTATATATAGCTTTCAATATTTCCACTGGCTTATTATGTTCAAAGGATATATTATTCTAAACAATATATTCTTTTTTTGTTATACATTTCTGTATTTCCCAAATTTTTACAATGAACATGTATTACAGCCATCATAGAGGGGGAAAAAGTATTGTAAAGCACTATATTCATTACACAACTATTACAATTCCACGTTATGTATGCTACTTATTTACAGATTTGGTCTGTGGACTAAAACTAAATATCTTCATCTCAAAACCAAAAAAGAACAAGAGGCTAACTTTTGCCAGATAACGATGCAGTAAAAGTCACAAACAATATCTGTTTTAATTTCTTCCGTCCACCGGGCAAAGTGGCTCATGCCTGTAATCGTAACACTTTGGGAGGCTGAGGTGAGAGGATTGCTTGAGTCCAGGAACCAGTCTAGGCAATATAGTGAATCCTCTACAAAAAAAACTAAAAATTAGCTGGGCATGATGCCACATGCCTTTAGTCCCAGTTACTCAGGAGGCTGAGGCAGAAGTATTGCCTGAGCCCAGGAGACCAAGGCTGCAGTGAGCCATGATCAAGTCGCTGCACTCCAGTCTGGGCAACGGGATGAATTTTTGTTGTTGCTGTTTTTCAGTTGGAGTCTTATTGTCACCCAGGCTGGAGTGCAGTGGCACGCTCATGGTCACCGCAGCCTCAACGTACTGGGCTCAGGTGATTCTTCTGCCTTGGCCTTCTCAGTAGCTGGAACTACAGGCACATACCACCACATCCAGTTAATTTTTAAAAATTTATTATAGAGATGAGATCTCGCCAAGTTGCCCAGGCTCAAATTCCTGGGCTCAGGCAATCCTCTTGCATCCACCTCCCAAAGGGCTGGGATTACAAGTGTGAACCACTGCACCCAGCCCTGATATGCTAATAAAAGAAAGATTTAATACTAAAGAATAGTAACTGCACAGAAAAAAAACTGTTATTCACAATAATGAAAGCCAAGGTTTTTGTAATGTAATACTTTGAAGATTTGGTGACAGTGACCTAATACAATAGTGAATTTTAATAACCATAATTTTAGCATGGGTAGATGAGTCTCATTATGACATCAGTAGAGTTGACAGATGATGGAAGTTTGTCTACACTGTAGATCTCACTTGAAATAAAAGCCCAGGGAAAATATTTTCACAAATGTCAAATCATGTATAAATTTATCACATATTTATAAAATGTGACTGCAACCTAAAAACTGAAAGGTTTTTTTTTTTTTTTTTTGAGTTGGAGTCTCACTCTGTCGTCCAGACTGGAGTGCAGTGGCCACTCCCAGCCACCGCAGCCTCGACCTGCTGGGCTCCAGTGATCCTTCCACCTCAGTCTTCCAAGTAGCCGGAATTACAGGCATGCGCTACCACGCCCGGCTGATTTTTTGATTTATTGTAGAGATGAGGTCTTGTTTTGAAACGTATTATTTGTAGTAATAAGACAACCAGCCACAAACTGTTAGATATATCCTTTTTATGTTGTTAGCTGTTATTCACTACACAAGACTGACAATAGTTCAAAGCAACATTATAGTTACTAAAAGTTATTGAAGGCTTAGTTAACCAAAATGTAACAATTATTACAAATGTTTGCAACAGCAAGAGCATTGTATTTATAATGCTCTAATTCCTATTAAAACTCATTACAGAAACATTATATACATTAGATACATACTGCTGAAGTCAAGTCAAGCAAGTCCTAGAATATCTGGGGTACGTGTCCATTTGCATAGCCTTTAAGGCATGGAAGACAAGTATTTTCAAATCTAGCTATTATAAAATGTATATTACATATATAAGGCAAGCAAAAATGTTTATGGACCATGCAAAAATGACAAATCTAAGCACCATTATAGACTAGACTCAGTAACCAAGTGTGTACTTCTCCTCTCTTGAACCAACGTGAACATTTTTTTATCCTAATACAGGGCAGAATTGTTTAACAGAAACTTACACAACCTGGTTTTGATGCCAGCACTGACTCTGACTTGATGCAGGACTTTGGATTTGATTTTTTTTTTCACTACATGTAAAGAAAAATTGGACTATATAATCTCCATGAAGGTTCCCCCCACCCATATTCCAGTATTAGAAGTTTTATAGGAAAAGACCAATTTTGAACAGAAAGTAAGAGGTGAGCATTTATTATTATAAGCCAATCCAATCAGATTGCATCTCAGGACTTTATCAAGAACTGCAGAGAGGCACTCTCCACCAAACTTGAAATTATAAATACATGTGGCTAGATATGCTATAGTACTCTTACAAACTTACCAGGAAAGTCTATCTGAGAAGAGAATCCACCCAGTGGAAATGGAAACAAGAAATGGAAAGCAAGAAAACGGATTATATCACTCGAGCCTCAATATCAAGGAATGTCTTTAAGTCATCCCTGCCTCTAAAAGGTTTTAGTTTCACAAGTCAATAAAATCACTCCTACTTAAGTTAATTTGGGTTGAGTTCTTTCTTGCAACTGAAAAAATTCTAACGACTAAGCTTACCTATAGCAATCTCAATGTAGTTGATAAGGTAAGATAATTGCCAAGTTTTTGCCAGATAAGTCATTTAATCCCCTTATTTCTCAAAACCATCAATAAAATCAAGTCATTATCTGCTTCCAAAGTGTTGTGAAAGTTATTAAAAAAGGGGGGGCAGTCTCAGTGGCTCAGACTGTAATCCCAGCACTTTGGCTGGGAGGCAAGTGGATTGCCTGAGCCCATGGGTTCAAGACCAGAATGGGCAACTTGGCAAGACCTCATCTCTACAATCAATCAGTCAATTAGACAGGCCCATGGTAGTTCATGCCTGTAGTTCCGGCTATTTGGAAGGCTGAGGCAGAAGGATCACTGGAGCCCAGCACGTCGATGCTGGGGTGGCCGTGGGCATGCCACTGCACTCCAGCCTGGGTGACAGAGTGAGACTCCAACTCAAAAAAAAAAAAGGGGGGTTGGTGTAAATACAAAGTGATCTTTAAATTCAGTGCCCTGGAAATGAAAAAATGGTCTCACCTTTTAAAAAGGAATTTTAGAGAGTCATTTTTATAATGAATATTATCATAAAGTTTCCAAGGAACAAGGGAATTAAGGAAATATCAATAATACCTGCTGCACTCAGATTCAACTCTAACTGTATTCGAGTCTGTTCTACACAGTACCTATGCATAAGAAAAAAGATTCAACTTAGAATCAAGTAACCCTGGAATCCAGTATTGGCTCTATAGTTGAGAAGTTTATATGATTTTGAGCAAAAGAATCTCTCTAAGCCACCACCTATCTCAACTTAAAAAGTTTCTGTGAGGATCAAAAACAACAATAATGAAAGCTCTTGTCACAATGTCCACATTTAACATTATTCAAACATCCAAGGTTGAAGAAAAACTATTTTTCATTCATTCTAAAATATATTTTTTTTTCACATTTTTAACTATGTGAAATTAAACAGTTCCCCAGAGTTAATAGCCTGTCATTGTTTATTTGGCAATGATTTTTCAGTGGTATATAAGAAAACAGTGCATTCTGCAATTAAAGGTTGTCTTATGCTTGATGAAATAAAATACACCAATTTCAGCCAAGCAAACTATGGTACTTAACCAAATAAGGGCGCATTTACCAAAATATACATAAGAAACAGAAAAGCATATGTGGTTACAGACATATACATATATATACTTTGTACATGTGTATGAGTAGGTTGTGATTTTATTTTACATACCTCTTTAGGTCAACTATTTCATTGTTAAGGGTATCTAGCTCCTTAATAGCAGAGAAATCTGCAACAGGACTTGATCCTATGATGTTCTAAAAACAAAAATGTCACAATTATACATTATTATTATAAAATTATGTAACATATGACAAAGCATTACAATTTTTAAAAGCTCTACAGATACAAGGTATTGCAAAGTTTACTGTATTACTAACACTTTTAATTAAGAAAACTATATAAAGAGCAATTATATATAATTATATACTTAGTTATATATGAAGATATTTCTCTTCAATTCTCTAAAAGCTATTGTTCTATAATATGTACCCCACCCCCACCACCAATCCCAATGTCTTTGTCACTTGATCCTAGACTGTTCAGAACTTTGCAGTAAAACAGATGTCAGGTTTATAAACGAATTCCTTAAAAAAAAAAAAAGAATTCCTCCATTGAAATGTACATTTCTTGAGGAAATGGATAGTGAATTATTAGTTCATCTGGTACAAAATAAGTACACAAATTTTTGTTAGTCTCAGAATTAAAACACTGGTTGATTTTATTCAATTCGACAAATATTTACTTTTGTTACATACTTTCATACTTTTGGTGTCTATTCTACTTAAAGTAAAACCAACTGCCTAGGCATGTTCCATAGTAGATATTATTATCACTAAATATGAAACTGTCTTCATGTATGACATCCTTTACATATGGTTTTCAAAATTTCAAAAATCGAGGTTCTAAAATTGGTCTCTGAATGGTCTTTATAGTAAGAAAAAAATCTAGCTGGGTTTATTCTGAGCCTTGCTATTTTACTAGCTGCATGGTCTTCACCTGTAAAATAGGGAAATAATCTCTGCCTTGCCCACCTTACATACTTAATAAAATGTTATATAAAGTCACTCCATAAACTTTATGGTATTTTATGAACATAAACTACTGCTATAATTCACTCTTCAACAGAATATACCCTTAATAGATGTTGTTTCCCAGTGAGTTGCTTCTGCCTCGGCTTAGTGTTCTTTTTGAACCATCAATGATGCCTTATATAGCTGGCTGAAGCGAGGGCAAAAATAAAAGTACTCTCTCCTTCAAACACCTGACCTACACCCAATGCTACATACAAACAACTGTACCATCATCATTTGGAAATGTTAAAATTGAGGCCTGAGCATGTAAACACTAGGATATATTGATTACTTCATTAGTAGAACATAAAACTTAGTGTTAACACTTAGGTTGTTGCAAAGTTAACGTTTATGTCACCAACTCAAACAAAAGAAGAAGCCTAAAAGCTCACAACATCCCATCCCCTCATATTTATATACTCATTTACAATTCACTTAGCACTTTCATATCCACTAGCTAATTTTCAAAAGTAAACTGAAAAGTGGGTTATAGGTAGGGCAGATATTATTAACCCCATTTTAGAGCTGAGAAAACAGTAAACGGCTTGCTCAAAGTTGAATCCAGCTAATCAGTAGTTTGATCAAAAGTCTTCTGATTAAATTCAAGTGCTATTTCACACTATGCCCCCCTTGACACTTGCAGATCAGATCATTTAGGTAAATGAAACCACCACTGCCCTAAAAGTAATTTGGCAAGCAAGCACATCAATAAAATTTGGCAAATAAATTCCTTCTAAAGGTGTCATATTGCACTTTTACTACTGAGCTGTTTTGTTTTGACTATCAATACCAAAATTCATCTATGATTAAATTAATAATATCAATTTTATGTTAATTACAGATTTGTATCAAACATATTTCTTAACTCTTTTACTGTGCTCCACTGATACACAAACCCTTATCAATGCTAAGGTAAACTGGAAATTTTAAAGTGGATTTCTGAGGGTGACAGTTATTCACTAGTATTTTCACTCTGTCTAAATTTGACCAATGAACTAAGCATGGCCAGACAGCTAGACAGGAGAACCAATGAAAAATTAGCACTTGATCTCACTTTCTTTTTTTTCTTTTTTTTTTTTTTGAGTTGGAGTTTCACTCTGTCATCCAGACTGGAGTGCAGAGGCATGCTCCCGGCCACTGCTGCCTCGACCTGCTGGGCTCCGGCAATCCTTCCACCTCAGCCTTCCAAGTAGCTGGAACTACAGGCGTGTGCTACCACACCCAGCTAATTGGTCTCACTTTCGTCCCTTAAATGCCACTGAGAAATTTGCTAACAGAGGTACACGTATTCCAAGAAACTCATGACTTCCAGACCTCTTCTGTCACTCTAACTCAAAAAAAGTGAGTTATATTTGACAGTCTTTTGCCATTAAAAATATCATCAACTAAGAAGACAGAGTGTAAAAATTAGTTTAACCTCAAATCAGAAAGGCGATATCCCAGATGATTCTAAAATGGCATGCAACCAGGAAGCATGAAAAAAATTCAGCTAATATTATATGTAGTATATAAGAGGTATACTAAGAAAAGTATAGCATGTTCTTTTCTTTCAAAATATTTGCTCTCATCTTATTTTGTACATTACACAAAAATTCCACTTTGGTAATTATAAGTGGATCAGAGAGCCCACAGAAGGCCAGCTAAAAACACACAAGGACCAAGTGACACGTGACAAAAGCATGCTGTTTAGGTATTTTCTCTGCATCAACTTTGCTGAATAAAAATCCTCTAATTTCAAAATGTATCTTGTAAACCAAAAACCATAATGCTAAAAAAAGGCATAAAATAAAGCTCTAACCTTGAGAGAGAGTAGAGTTAAGAAACTGACAGTATAAGAAAGGCGAAAAGCAGAGTGCTGCAGAATGGAAAAAATAGTCCAAACTAGAAAAAACACAGGAAAGAAAGCAACATTCAAAAAAGCATTAGTCAATGCTGCAAAAAAATGCAGTATTAAAAATTTAAAAATCAGATTATAAAGAGAAAAGAGGTTATTTGAAAGATAAAACAATCCAAGTTTAAATTTTAAGGTTAAAATTTTTGGTTAATAAATAAGACAATAGTGGTAAAATCCCATTTCAATGAATAATGCTGGTATCTGACATGAATGAACAAAGGTGTCTACATTCTAGTGACTGGACTTCAGACAAATTTACTAGATTAAAAACCCTGTACACCAGATGCAACTTCAAGTGCCTACTAATGTTATAGGAACTTCAATGAACAAACATAATTAGTCTCAGAAATTTCTGTCATACCTGTGATATGTACTGATGGGAGAATGAATAGGTTATAAAACGAAGAAAGCAACAAGTACAAAAAAACAGTCCGCATAGGTGAAAGAAAGAATGTAACAACACAGTATTCCATAACTAAGATAAAAATACAAATCCAGTAAAATTTATCTTTCTGGATGGCATCAGTCTTCTCTACAACTTAGAGAACCCAAGTCATATACCACAAAGAATCTCAAAAGATTCACAAACTGTTCCCACCTCCTCACAAAGCATATAATTAAATAGTTATTTTATTAAAAATAAGGACTGGCTGGGTGCAGTGGCTCACACCTGTAATCCCAGCACTTTAGGAGGCCAAGGCAGGAGGATTGCTTAAGCCTAGGAGTTCAAGACCAGCCTGGGCAACATAGCAAGACCTCATCTGTAATTTTTTTTTTAAAGGACCAAAACATCTATAAGTAACTCTCTAAATCTGGTAACTATAAATTCCATTTAATTTACTGGGGGGAAAAATTCCAATTTTGATTTTAATTAGGTTTGTTAAAATGGGATTTTTTTTAAACTTCTGTGACAAAATTAATGCAAAACCAAAACATTCTATTACTATTTTAAAGAGAGCTCTCTTCATACACATTTGACAACTCCTATTACTGTATATACAACTCTGAAGAGCACAGCAATGATTACTTTATAGGCAATAAGAGATTTAAAGATACAAAAGTATTTACGTATTTATTTATTTATTATTTTTTTTGAGTTGGAGTCTTACCTGGTCACCCAGGTTGGAATGCAGTGGCACACTCATGGCCACCCCAATGTCGACCTGCTGGGCTCCAGCAATCCTTCCAAGTAGCTGGAACTACAGGCGCACGCTACCATGCCCAGCTAATTTTTAAAAATTTATTGTAGAAACAAGGTCTCGCCAAGTTTCCTGGGCTGGTCTTGAACTCGCGGGCTCAGGCAATCCACTCACCTTGGCCTCCCAAAGTGCTGGGATGCCAGGTTGAGCCACCGAGCCCGGCCACAAAGTATTTTTAAAGGCAAATAGTCTCTACAGTATGCAAGTCCTTTTAAAGGCCAAGCTAGGCCAGGCACAGTGGCTCAAGTCTGTAATCCCAGAACTTTGGGAAGCCAAGGCGAGAGGATTGTCAGAGCCCAGGGGTTTGAGACCAGCCTGGGCAACTTGGCAAGACCTCGTCTCTACAACCAATCAAAAATTAGCCGGGCCTGTAGTTCCAGCTACTTGGAAGGCTGAGGTGGAAGGATTGCCGGAACCCAGCAGGTTGATGCTGGGATGGCCAGTGAGCATACCACTGCACTCTAGCCTGGGCGATGGAATGAGACTTCAAATCAAAAAATAAAATTAAAAAAAAAAATAAAGGCAAAGATAATAGCAAAAACACTATAATAGGAAGAGTTTCTAGATGAGGAGAGAAAAACCAAGGCCCAACATGGCTTAAAAATGTAGTTTTGAAAACTTCCTCTAAAACCAAAAGTAACTAAAGCCTGCTTCTAGTCATTCGGGTGTGAAGTTCAGCTGTATACTCAGGAATAAAGGGTCATATATGGCAAAACCACACAGATTTACTCAACATGTTTTGCATCAAAAATGTTTTACTCAACATGTTTTACATCAAAAATGCTTGGGGGCATTTTTGATGTAAAATTAACACCAAACAATCATATCCTAGATTTTGTCTTCAAATTTGTATTTTTTTCTATAAAAGAAAATCATCAAACAAAACATAATAATTTAATTCTTTTATAATCTATTCATAAAAATTAATTCACAAATCTGGGAAAGGAAAAATAAGGCCCATTTTTCCAATTTTAAGATTGAAAAATATAGTTGTCATATATTTAGTGAATGGTGGGGCAAATAAGCTGCAGGTAAGGATGCTATACAAGGCACTCCAGCATATTTATAGGTACAAACTAAACCACAAACAGTATACTGCGCAGCACTTGGTCAGATACACCTTCTCTACTATTCCACCCTCATCAAATCTGTAATTTGACACAGCACTTGTTCCTTTGAAATTAATGCATTCAGGTTTTCTTTTAGATTGTCTTACCTTTTGTAAACTGGCCCTGTCTGATGGTGGAATCATATCAGGAGTAAGAATGTGAGGAGGATCAATGCCTTTTATCAACTTTTGATTGATTAAGTGAAAAGCCAAGGCAAACTGATCCTTTGAAAGTTTTCCACAGTCCTTTGTATCACATAAGGCCCTGTACAAAAAAACAAAATGAACAGTATATAAATGCCACAACTCCCAAAAAATCCAGGGAAAAAGTACAATTATGTATCTTTTTAAAAATTATGGGCCAGGTGCAGTCGTTCAAGCCTATAGTCCCAGCACTTTGGGAGGCCAAGGTGAGGGAACTGCCTGAGCTCACAGGTTCAAGAACAGCCTAGGCAACTTGGCAAGACCTCTTCTCTACAGTAAATTTTTTAAAAATTAGCTGGGCATGGTAGCACGCACCTGCATTTCTGGCAACTTGGAAGGCTGAGGTGGAAGGATCACCTGAGCCCAGAGGGTTAACAATGAGGTGGCCGTGAGCATGCCACTGCACCCTAGTCTGGGCAACAGAGTGAGAGTCCAACTCAAAAAATAAAAAATAAATAAAAATAAATAAAAAATTATGAGTTGAAGCCAGGCACAGTGGCTCACACCTGTAATCCCAGGCCTTTGGGAGGTGAAGGCAAAAGGACTTCCTGAGCCCAGGGGTTCAAGACCAGCCCGGGCAACTTGGCGAGACCTCATCTCTATAATAAATTTTAAAAATTAGCCTGGTGTGGTGGCTCACTCCTGTAGCTCCAGCTACTTGGAAGGCCGAGGCAGAAAGATTTTCTGAGCCCAGTAGGTGAAGGTTGAGGTCACTGTGAGAATGTGACTGCAATTCAGCCTAGGCAACAAAATGAAACTCCAACTCAAAAAACAAACAATAAATAAATAAAAACACTTCACACCAACTTGCAGCTTGTCTAAAACTCACTCAAATGTTAGAAAAGGTAGATTGGCTAAAATGATAAAAAGAGAATGTTCACCCTAGTGCCACGTAGAGGCCTCAAATCTAATTAACTTTCTTTCTTACCAATTTCCAGAATCACTAACTACAGAATAACAGCTATGGGGGGCCAAAGAAGTCCAACATTCTCAATTCCTCAAATTTTTAACATTAAAAGATGGTGAAACCTAAGTCTCAACAAATTTGATTCATTGGTAGCACTAGAATTATACTAAAACAAGCAAAATATTTTCATGTCAGCGTACTTCCTTCAACTCTTGGACTAGGAGGAGAATACAAGGATCACCAAGCCAATACAGAATGAACAGCTGCAAATGAAGATCACATGTGAGGAGAAGGCAGCAATCTGGAAAGCTTTATAAAATCACTTGAAGAAAAAATGTAAGGGTTTTACTCCACTTTTTCTTTAAAAAATAAAATAAATAAATAAAAGCTCAGCTCTTTGACGTCCTGATCGGTTTAATTAATTGAAGGTCAGTAAGACCTGATGAAAAGACTGCTATGGTATTGTGTCAAATGAACCTTAAATTACAGCTTTCTATTTACTTCTTCTTGTGACCTTGGTCAAATGTTTTAACCATTCACTCTAAGTCTTAGTTTCCTCATCTATAAAGTGGAGATGATAGATGATAATGAGAATTTTGTGAGGGTACCTGAGAATTAAAGACAGGGTACATAAAAAATCATAATTTCAACCTCATAACAGCTGCTGTCATTTATTAAGCACAGTGCTTAGTCTATGCACTCAAAAGTGGCAGCCATTATTAGTTCTGCATATTTAATCTTTCCCAGTCTTAGGTTCTTGTTTCTTTTTGTTGTTGTTTGGAGTCTCACTCTGTCGCCCAGGCTGGAGTGCAGTGGCATGCTTGAAGTCACCGCAGCCTCAACCTGTTGGGCTCAGGCGATCCTTCCACTTCAGTCTTCCAAGTAGCTGGAACTACAGGCGCACATCACCACACCCAGCTAATTTTTTAACTTACTGTAGAAATGAGGTCTCGCCAAGTTGCCCAGGATGGTCTCAAACCCTTGGTCTCAGACGATCCTCTCGCCTTGGCCTCTCAAAGTGCTGGGATTACAGGCCTGAGCCACCATGCCCAGCCTCTTGCTTCTTGTAAGGTAAATCTACTGTCTTCCTCTATTCTTTCCTAGGTTTCTCTTTACAACCATGGGGCTACAATTCTGATGTTTGCTGTCTCTTAAAAATCTCAAGATAACCCTTGTTGTGTAGTTAGATGGACGGTGGCAGACACACTACAAAGCACTGTCATATATATTATCTCATATCATATGAAATTCATTAAAGACACTAAGGCTTGTCTTCTTTAAGGACCAAGTGTGTTATTCCTATGTGAAAGTATACATATACTCTATGGAATTATACAGGCATGCCTTGAAGATAGTTTTTTCTTTTATACTGCTTAAATGTCAAATATTTGCAGTCTCTCTGAAAATTTTAAGTTTAAGATATAAATAGATTCTGCATTTATAAGTCTAATAACAATTAACTGACACTGTCAATCATATAAAGCTTCAGGTATCCCATTCTCAACCTTGTGTTCATCGCCCAGAATTCTGAAACAAAATCTGTCCTATTTATAAATGAGTAAAGTAAGAATGTACAAAACTGGAGTTGATACAAAGCCAACTTTTAAAAAAATCAATTTAAATAAAGTCTTACCAAATATGGGCTAGTAAGGTAGAAGGTAAACCTGTTTTTAGGAAGATTTCACGGACCTCCAATCCAGACACAAATCCATCCATATCTTTATCAGTTTTCAGGAAGATTTCATCATATTTAGCTTTTTCTGCAGAGCATACAACCCACTACAGAGGGGGAAAAAACCAACAGTTATTTCTGCCAAAATGAAACAAACTTTAAAGCATCCCTCTTCTGTCCATAAGAGTATCTGACACAAATTCTGAACAAGTCTACCTTACTAACTACAGCAACACTGTATCACTTCCACATCACATCTCAATCAAAATATTGTGGCGAAGAGAAAATAACAAGAAAAATACAGATCAGTTAGGACTGTATTTATAGGTGCACGTTATTACTTATTTTTCTTTTAAGGAATGAGTAAATTCAAGCAGAGTTAACTCTTGACTTTTGAATGCCTACATGAACATAGGTAACTGAAAAAGTCTGTCTAAACAAATATTCAGATAATTCTCAACCTTCATTTTTTTATAGTTTCACCCAGCAGTCTTAACTATAGCCATACTGGCTGATTTGCATATCCTGCTATTATCTTCCCTTACTCAACATGACAAAAGGCAGGCTGGAAGGGGAAAAAAGAAAAAAAAGCCTTGGAAAACCCAGGATTGGAGAATTTGATCCCACAGAATCAAGAGTTAACTAGAAATTAAACAAAACAAAATCAACTATTAATTATGCCAGGGGAAACATGCCATGTTAGCATAGGGCATCTTCCATCTCTAACTTTAATTCTGGGTAGATCAAGGCAAAGCCAATAAAACACCCATATGAGCTAAGGCCAAATGCAGAAGGAATGTCTGTGTCCTCAGAACATCACATTATGCAGGTTCAACTGGACAGAGCTCTAAATTTTTGATACATTTGATCACTCCCCCTATCAAGTAATCAATTGTTAAATGCCATGCACTTTGTTAAAAAAAAAATCCTTTAACACTAATAAATGTCTACCTGTCTTAATGGTGCTTTGGTAGGTAAAATGCCTACAGGTGGTAAGGAGTGGTAAGATTCCTTGGCTGATGCTGAAGAGGGGATCAACCGCACAGATCCTGATATACTGACCGTTTTTCTCTTAGAAGGTGGCACCAAGGCTGGAGGCAAGGACATTGGCACAGGTTCTTTCTCTAGTGCACAGTATACCAAAAACATGGCCTTCAAGATAAACAAACCAGGGACATATATATTAAAACCATTTAACATTTACTCATTAATTAATTGATTATTGTTCAAAAACAAGTCATCTTTAGGCTATCTCAAATCCTTTTTAAAGAAATTAGCCTGGGAGGTAAAGAAGTGGAAAAAGAGAAAGAGATGAAAGGTGGGAGGGAGAAAAGGAAAGAAATCAAAGCAAAACAATTTTTAGAAGGATATTTTTAGTAAAAACTTAGAGATACACCCTTCAATTAAAGTTCCTGCAATGTCAAAGGCAAACAACAGTTTGGGGGGGGATCTGCAAAGAAAGATGTGATCTCTTTTATATATAATATACAAAGAGTTCCTAGACATTAACAAGGGGAAAAAAAAGTCCAAAAGAAAAATGGACAAAGTATGAACAGATGTTTTACAGAAAAGTAGATACCTTAAATGGCCTGTCCTTTAACATACAAAAATATGCTCAATTTCACTCATAAGAAACTGCAAGTTAAAACAATACTGATATACTATTTTCCACCTAATTAGCAAAAAACTCAAAGTTTTATAACATACTTCATTGGTTAAACTGTGGGGAAACTCATACACTGCTAATGGGAGCTGAAGGATAACAGAATATGCCACCCCAAAACTTGCCACTTTGGCTTATGGATTATTTTGAGCAATTAAGAAGCAGCAGATTTTTTAAAAAGCAGAAGAAACAAAAAAACTCTCTGTCCTCCCACCATTTGCTTAAAAGGAGGACATAAATTTATAAATGTGTCTTTCCTCCCTTCTCTATAAGAAAGAATAAAAGCTCCTTACCAAAATGACTTTAGACCGTTATTAGCCTACAGATGGCACAGATGAATCTACATAACAAACTGTACTAAGGACCCTTTATCTACTGTTAGTTTCCCATATATTTGTCTTCCCATAATATGTGGTCCCTAGAGACTCAAGGTCCTTTTCTTTTACCTTGTCATTTCTCTAAAAATGTATTGTTCTTTGCTGAAGACGCTGTATAAGCCTGAGTTCTAAGCTACCTTTGTAACTATTACTCTTTTCCAGAGTTTCTCCGAAGTCTATATGGAATATACATGTTAATAAACTTCTGTTTTTCTCTTGTTAATCTGTCATTTGTCACAGGGGTACCAGCCAAGAACTCAGATGGGTAGAGGAAAAATTACTTTCTTCCCCTAAAGAGTTCAAATTGGTACCACCCCTAAGGACAAATTTGCAACATCTACCAAACTGCAAATGTATTTCCCCTTTTGCTTCGCAACTGCACATGTAAAATCTATCCTTAGGTTTACCTGCCTAAATAGGAAATACTATATTTTTAAAAGGCTATTAACTGTAGCATTGTTTGTATCACAACCCAAGTGCCCACCTAAAAAAACTGGTTTAAAAAATTATGATATACCCGGGCTCGGTGGCTCAGCCTGTAATCCTGCGCCTTTGGGAGGCTGAGGTGAGCGGATTGCCTGAGCCGGCAGGTTCGAGACCCGCCTGGGCAGCAAGACCTCATCTCTACAATAAATCAAAAAATCAGCCGGGCGTGGTAGCGCATGCCTGTAATTTCGGCTACTTGGAAGGCTGAGGCGGAAGGATCGCCGGAGCCCAGCAGGTCGAGGCTGCGGTGGCCGGGAGTGGCCACTGCACTCCAGTCTGGGCGACAGAGTGAGACTCCAACTCAAAAAAAAAAAAAATTATGATATATTCATACAATGAAATACTATGTGGCATTAAAAAACATAATAGAAAACATTCTGTCTTAATTGTTGTGGGGCCTTCACGGGTATATAATTGCCAAAACTCATCAAATTATATACTTAATTGGATGCAGTTTGTTGTATATAAAGAATTCCTCAATATGATTGATCAGGAAAAAAAGAATCATAGAGCTCTCTCTATGGAAAAGATATTCCAAGATAACCTACTAACCATGAAAAAGCATAGTGCTGAACAGTGAATATGGTGTGTTATCTCTTGTGGTAAAGAGGAAATAATTATTCATATTTGTTGACATTTGCATTAAAAAATTCTTGGAGGATAAGTAAGAAATTAAGAAAACTGGCTGTTTATCAAGTAGAGGTAAATGGAACAGTTGAGAGCAGGGATGGAATGAGATTTTTTCACTGAATATTGATTTCTGAGCCATGATAAATATAACCCCTTTTACATATTTTAAATTAAATACGTAAAGCACTTGCAAAAATGGAATGACCTGCATTAGACTGTCCCAGAATATTTAGCTCCATTTTAAGGGAGTCAAGACATCTTCAAGACCTTCAGAAAATAAAATTTCCAGGACTATCTTTGAGCATATGAAATTACTGGAAGTAACTTGGAACCTCTAGAATGATTCCAGAAGCAACGAAAGAAGAAACCCTTGCATATTTCTTATTTTTTTCTTCCACTGAAAATCATAATTCTCCCCAAGAGGAAATTATAAGTTTTGTAGAACTTTCAAATCATTATTTATTGAGCATTCAATACAACAACACTGACCCATGATTTCCATAATTACTAATAACACTGCAAAATGAAGAAATGAGGCTAAGATGCTAAGTAATTTACCTAGTACAACATTTTTAATAAATGAGGTCAAACAAAGATCTTCTGGCTATAAAGTTCTTACTTTTTCCGGATTTGATCAGGCTTACTGGCAACATACATGTAATCTTACAATATCATGCTTTCCTTTACAACCAACAAAAGTAAATCATTGGTACTCAAATTTTAGTGGGCATCAGAATTCCTTGAACAGCTTGATAAAGTACAGATTCTGGGCCCTGCACCCAGAATTTCAGAATCAGTAAGGCTGGGGTTTGGCCTGGGAATTTGCATTTTTAACACATACCCAGGTGATGCCAATGATATTTGCCCAGGGACCACACTTGACCTTTAGACCCAAACCAAGAATTCTCTCCCCATTCACTAGCCAACCTGAAAGAATTCAGTTTCAGTTTTAGAAACACACAAACTTTTATTTCCAAAAGCCTGAAAATCCAGACAAAATAATCTGATTAGCACATACTTTCAACCAAATTCATAATACCAGAGAGGACTCCCCCAAAAAACCCCCAGGATTTATTTTTTAAATTGTGTATTTATTCTTACTAGTTTAAACTTCAGTCACCTTCAAAGTACTCTCCATCTGATCCACCTATCAAGACACTTTTCCACTGCTGAAAACAGTTTTTGAGCTCATCAATTTTGATGCCTTTTATTGCTTCTGCTGTTTTTTGTTTCACCTCTTCCACACTGGTAAAACATTTATTTCCCTGTGAGGACTTTTGTCATCCAGAGAAACAAACAAACAAAAAAAGTCATTGGGGCAAGACTGGATGAGTAGCACAGGAGTCATGCCGTTTTTGATCAAAAACTGCTGAATATTCAGCACAGTGTAAGCAGGTGCGCTCATAAACCACCCATCATGAAATGGGCAAATGTCTTGAAGGACTCTCCAAAAACAAATTCACTGAAGCCACACACAGTCTCTCACAACAACGCTAGCTGGTATACTGATGTTGATAGGTTCCTAGAACACTTACCTAGAAGGGAAGCCTGTACTACAAGGAGTAATTTTGGTTTTTTTGAGTCCCCCTCATATACGTATTGTAATATTATTAGATTGGCACTGAGCTAAGAGAAGTGACTAGCATGCACAGTCAGCACTCTTGCTGCAGATGGGAGTCATTTCCTGGAAAAGTGGACACTAGAAGCAAAAAAGCAATGTAGGCCATCTGCTGCCAATAGACAACATATTTTTTTTGAAAGTTAAAAAAATGTTATTAATTCTATGCTGCCTTGAAAATAGTTTTCCTGACAAAACAGAAGTCAAAAACTTTACCAACAAACAAGATAGCAAAAGTGAACAGAAAATTTTTAACACTCCTGGGTTGTGACTTTGCTTATTTTGTTACATTGCACTTTATCCTATTCAAAATCTGCCACTGAATCAAAAACAGCAGCCAAATAAAATGATGCACCATACTCACCAAAAAAAAAAAAAATCTGCTAGTAACTAGTCAAACTGAAATGTATTAGAACAAATGCATTTACACAGATAAAGAAGCATTTAGAATGTTTCTAATTTCTTGTTTGCTTTTTTTTTTTATGATTTCAAAGCAGAGGCATCAAAAATAAACCTAAACTTAGGGACAGCAGTTTCGGAAAGAAGGAATTTCATTTTACTGTTATAGTCAATTACTAACAGTTAACTTTCTCTGACTTTTTTTCATTCTCCGTGCTTTTATGTAGTATTTCTCAACTTTTAGTGACCATGAGAATCACCTGCAGAGCTTTTAAAGCACAGGTTCAGACTGGGACGAGGCTTAATAATTTGCATTTCTAACAGGTTCTCAGGTGATATTGATGTTGCTGGCGGGAAATCATACTTTGAGAACAAATTTTTAGCACCTTCTTTAGGAGTGTTACAAGCAGTTGAAATGCCAGCTATAATTTCTTAAGATTGCAATCTGGGATGAAATTATCAGGCATTTTTTACATTTTCCATCAATTTAGTTCAATAAAACATTTATTGAGAAATTTCTGTTCAACAGGCACTGTATCATTATTATACTAGGTACTAAAAATACAAAAGTGAAATGATCCCTCACTTTTACAACCCAACAGAAGCAACAGATATGTAAAAACTTAATTTCAATACATATGATACATGCTAATGCACACAAAAACAGCTCCTCTATAAATCTCCAAATGCCAAAAACACTTCACATAATGAAGACCTAACAAATTCTACTGACAAAAACTTACACCAATTCCAGTCTAAAAATTTACCTGTCAGAAAAATTTGAAACTTAATAAGAATATAAATACCAACGTCATTTTTCACAGAATTAGAAAAAAAAATCTTAAAATTCATATGGAACCAAAATAGCAAAGCAATCATAGGCAAAAAAGAACAAAGCTAGAGGCATCACATTACCTGACTTCAAATTATACTACAAGGGTGTAGTAACCAAAACAGCATGGTACTAGTAAAAAGAACA